GCAACAGTGACCCAGGGATCTCACATTGCAAGACAGTGGAAGCAGAGAAAGAGAAAGACATACTCTCCTCTTCTTTTAAAGCCCTCAGAACCACGCCCCTGACCACCATTTTTAATCTATTCACTACTGCATGGTCCTATACAATCCAATCACCTCTTCAAGGCTCCAACTTTCAATTACCATAATAGGATTTCCCACCCTCTTAACAGTCACAGTGGGGGCTAAGTTTCTAATACATAAAGCTTGGGGGACACAATTCAAGTTTCAAGGAGTTTGGGGGGAACATAATTCGATCCACTACACTGAGCTAACTTTCAAATGATTTGGAAAAAAAAGTATATAGATAACAAATATGAGAAAACGTTAAAGATTGTTAATCTAAGTGGAGGATGTAGCGGGTGTTCATTATACTATTCATTCAACTTTTCCGTGTATTAAAACTTTTTCAAACAAAAAGATGGAGAATTTGTCTAAGAGCACACAGCTGGAACCTAAATTCAGGTTTATCATTCAGCCACTCAATATCTGTTTTTTCTAATGACAGACATGATGCTAGATGCATAAAACTGAATGAGTCTTTCCTGAAAAAATGCAATTGGTGCACAAGGCAAGTACAGTATACTATGGGAATCACAGCGCGAACAATTCAATCTAATGGAAGACCTGCCAAGGAGGTGCCATTTAGACAGACTCCTATCGCAAAGGGGTATTACACTGTACAAGGCCTGGAGGAAAAGATTTACATTTGTGTTTCTCAGAGGTTTTCACCTGCTTCTACAGCAAGAAATACTGTATATCACACGCACACACACCTGGAAGAAAACTTTTACTTACCTTTATTATGTGCAATACACACGGATGTTTTGTCCCATTCTATTCCTGCCTACCTTTTCTTTTACCCTTAATGCTAGTTGCAGCTCACTACAATAATTTTACAACCCAGTAGCAGCTTTTACCTACATTTCAAAAATACTATGTTCAGGGCCGGCCCGTGGCTCACTCGGGAGAGTGCGGTGCTGATAACACCAAGGCCCCGGGTTCGGATCCCATATAGGGATGGCCGGTTTGCTCACTGG